CAATTGGACATAAACATTGCCACGTGTGAGTGTTTTTTATTTTTAACCGCAAAATAAACAGCAATTTTAACGGTGTTCCAATAAGAATTCATTGGTCAAATTTTCACAGAATGTTCTTTAGATAAAAATCTATATAAAAAACGAAAAAAACTATTTTTGATTGAAATTCACAAAAAAAGTGCATCTCTACCTTAAAAGCCACAGCTTCTATTAAAATTGTACAATGCAACAGAAGGGATGCAGCTTCCATTAGAGCATCTACACATATGAGAAATGGTGAATTTTGGGATCTCAATTGTTCAAAAAGATTAGGTGCAGCTTCCATTAGGAATGCGGATTTTAATACAAATTTTACAGTTATCATTCAAACATCCATCACATCACTTTGCATTAATTTTAGAGATGAGTAAAACCACTTAAATTTTGTGCAATTTTTACATAATCAGACCCACAACAATGATTTAGAGTGTGAGGTGTGAAGGTTACATTTCAGACAACGATGTGACAAAACACAAATGTCTAACTTCAAATGTGTGCCGCTAACCTAACATTTTCGTTATGGACAACATCTTATGACATACCTTAACCTCGTCCATATATGGAGTGAACAATCGTGGCTTGACGTACATCGGATTATTTTTACATCTAATCCAAGGGTTGATAACCAAGGACTCATCGTCGCTACCGAACATGTGTGACGGCGGTGTACTGATCAATCCCCTCCTAATTACATTGGTTAACACTTCGTTACTGTGCGGTATTATGTGATCAACCCGAATATATGGCAATATATCGCTGAGAATCTCTCGTAATTCGCTGTCATCCAAGTCTCGTCGCTTGATTCCTTTCTTGCTTACACTGTGTTGAGTATTACTCAGTAAATTGGGTTCTAAGAAAGAAAAAATGGATACAGATTGTTTTAATTTAAACATTCAAATTTTAATATTCGACAAAGCAAGGTTCTGACCTTCATTCGTGTCAGCAAGTACAAGAGTGGCTAAAGCAAGCCATGTCACATAGTAAAAGAAAATACTCTCTGGAGAATCTTGGTTGTGTGGCTAGTGTTAATGGTACATGAAACACGAAAGCTTATTTACAAAGATGGCTGTTATGATCACCTTATACTGTGACTTGACATTGACATAGACCATCCAGTCATTTATTCACATTTTAGGATGCTCAGAACAAATTGAAAATTACAGCAGATGCTGAAATAAACACTATGCCCCCCCCTATCACTCTACCTTGCACCGTTGCACTATTCAACATTGCCACGACTGTTTGTTATGACTTTGCCTTCAACCATTGGAAATTAACATCATTAATTTACATATCAAAAGTTCCACTATACTGTACAGGCACAGTCAGCTGGCGAACAAGTGGTAATAAAATAAATGCGATATTTAATATTAGGGGTCGCCATCTTGAATACGACCGGATTCGTTTTTGTGTGGAAAAAACCCTTGCATATGTACATCTAATTACACGAAGAACTTATTTTTGGGGTATTTGAAACTCACATTGTCATCTACCTGCAAGGCTGTCGCTGATTGGCTGCTGAGTTTGAATGACAATTTTTGGTTTCAAATACCCCAGGAACTTTGAAATGAAGTTATATATTTGTGAACAAATAATTCAAATGTAGAATTCTCCAAAGATTCAATTATTCGACAAACTGATATTTCAAGTGATTCTTTTTCTCAAAATGATTGTGTCCAAAAGTGTTGCCTTGTTGGGACTGAAAGCGCTGAAAGTAAAACAAAAATCGCTCCTAATAATATTAGCAATTAGAATGAAAACTGAAAGGAATTTGGCGGTTTTCCTGATCAGTTTTATTTTGTCACTCGCTGTAATTTTCATGCCCATACAATAGATAATGAAAATAAATTGTGGGCTCACAAACACTGGTATATTGGTAGAAACAACTTATGACATTTCACTGTTTCTGTAATGGTTTCTATGGTGATATGAATTCATGCCACCAGGATATAGTAAATGATTAAAAATAAAATAATGGGATCGCAATATGTTATGAAAATTTACAATTTCACAATCAGAAAATCTTATCCAGTGAAATATACGAAAACATAGTATTGTTGTTGATTTGAACTAAAATAGTGCTAAAATTCTTAAAAAAAATTGTAATATTTTCCAAATACATGCAATAAGGAACTAAGGAATAATTGAATTTGGCTAAAACTTTCTTAATTTTGAACTACATGTATTACCATTGTTCTTGATATCAATCAACACTAACATAATTAGCAAAAGAATTTAAAGAGAGCCCTCTACAGTTCACATGCACATATCTTTCCTTTTTACAGCCAAATCACTGTATAGAGCTTTAATTAATTAAGTTATTTATATTATTGGGTTTATTTTCACTTATTTGCTGATAGCTAATTTACAACCCAGTTAATGTGTAATAAGTTAACAGAATGCATATACAATATAATGTATTATTTTCTTTCACAAACTAGTGAATTTAAAACCTAGTGAATACGTATCCATGCAATATCAAATCCACCAAAATTAAACCCAGCGTAGAATTTTAAAATTTCAAATTACCTCTTTCTTCTATTCTCTTGATAAGTTGATGCTCGGCCCATTTTAACAC